AAAAAAAAAAAAAAAAAAAAAAAGAAAAGAAAAAAGAAAAAAAAAAGGTATTTGACTTGACAGAATGTTGCTATTACACTAATAAGCATATTTATTTCTATGTATTTATTTATGAAATAAATATAAAGTAGTCCTATTTGAGTGGAATTTTGGAGCATTTCAGTTATTTAGAGTCCTTAATTTATGTGACAGGATAAAAAAATCAGCAGCTCCTTGTTTGAGACACTAAATGGTTACCGTACATGAATGATCCACTGAAGCTCAGTTAAATCCTAACGAACATGAAAAGACGACTAGTAAGCCTAATTACCGTGCTTCACAATAGTTCTAGAGAGAAATTTGTTTAGAATTTCAGCTTGGAAGCAATGTAGATCCACTCTTTTACCTATTGCAGTCATAATAATTGAAGTAAAGATTTTTCTCTTCCCTCTTTCCTGTTCCAGTGGATTCCAAACTTTTCTTTACCTCCCCTCTGCTCCCTCCCTCCTCTTAAAAGAGAACAGGGATTTTCTCAGATTCAAGTCTTTCGCACGTGAAACCCAAAGCCTGTGTTGGGGACTCTGAAAGAGAAGTTATTAGTGTCGAGCATAGGAAATGGGAGTGAGCAGGTTGTGAGGACGTTCTGGTGAGAGTGGGCTCCGGAATTTCCTTCACATTCTCCCTTGCTGTGATGATTGTGCATTGTTTAAAAAAGGGTTAAAAAGGGTAAATGATAATAATTGATATAATATATTCAAATTGCATTAATTGTTGAAGAATGGTACATATAGCATCTGTATTCAAAAACATTGCTTTGTTGGCTTTTCTTCTGAAAAGGAAAATGGTACGATCCAAAGGAAAAGGAGATCACTCACTTTAATAGCAGTGCCTTCATCAAAGGACTTTGATGTCCATGCGTAAAGGTGAACTGATGATTTCAAAGCAATTGCTATATATGTTGTTTCTTCATGTTGGACTACAATGATAAAATAAAAAGAAGTGACAATGCCACAGATTTAACAAGAGCACTCACGTGTTTGCATTTGTTCTTGAAAGTATCATAACCACGACATAAGCACAAAAACTGCATATATATTTTTAAAAGCTGCTTGTTTCCAATTTGATGTGCCTTCAAAAGTAATGATTACTATAGAACTTTTTGTAGTGTATTTATCAGACTTCAAGAGTATTTTAAAATTTACATTGAAAACTATAGAACCTGGATAAAAAATTTAAAGACCTAAATAAATGCAAAAAAATTTCATGTTTGTTCATGTTTACACATACCATTTTAAAGATAACAACACTATCCAAACAAATCTCAACAGATTCAATAGGATACCTCTTAAAATCCCGATGGCCTATTTTTGTATAAATGAGAAAGCTATTTCTAAATTTCCCATAGATTTACAAGAGGTTCTGAACCACCAACACCAACAGATTATTTTGTCTTAAAATAAAAATAAAAATGGGAGGACTCACATTTCTTGATTTCAAAAACTATAAACTGTAGTAGTAAAAACAGTATAATGCAGTCATCAGGCTGGGCATACAGATGAATGGAATAGAATCCACAGTCAACAAATATACCCATAAGTCCACAGTAAATTGTACAAAAATCATGCAATAAAGAAAAACAGTGTACAGCAAATAGTGCTGAAACAACTGGTTGTCCATGTGCAAAGGAATGAAGTTGGAACCTTCACACCACATATAAAAATTAATGCAAAATGAATCAAAGCCCTAAATGTAGGAGCTAAAACTTTAAAATGGGTAAATTGGGATATGTCACATTTAAAAAATTTTGTGCATCAAAGGTCACAATCAAGAAGTTGAAAGTATAGCAAATGGGCTAGAGGGAAATATTTGCACACATCTAATAAAAGCCTACTAAACAGAATGTTTAAAGAATTCTTAGACTCAACAACTAAAAGATAAACCAGCTAAAAATAGGAAATAGTTATTCCTTCATGGTTGACAAAAGAATAACCAGTAAATACATGGAAAGATGCTCATCAATATTAATCACCAGGAAATGTCAAATCAAAGCTACTAATTTACTGTAATCCCAGCACTCGGGAGGCTGAGGCAGGAGGATCACTGTGAGTTCAAGACCAGCCTGGGCTACATAGTGAGTTCAGGTGAGTCTCGACTACATAGTGAGACCCTGTCTCAAAAAAACAAAAAACAACAACAAAAAACAAAACAAAAAAATCCCTACTAATTTATTGCCAGGGATTTAGCTCAGTAGTTCTGGCACCTGCCTTGCAAGTGAAACATCCTAAGTTCAGTCCCCAGTACCCCCACCAAAAAAATCTACTTCTTTATACCTCACTAGAATGTCTAAAATCAAAATAGGCATCTACAAATGCTTGAAAAGTTGCAGAGAAAACAGAGTTTTCACATGTTACTAATGACAAGGTGAAATAGTACATTTACGTTGAAAACTTTCTAGCAGTACTATGTAAGAGAAAAGAAAACATGCGTACTCATATACAGAGAGGTACAAAAATATTCGTATATGCAAAGATATACAAATATATGAACACTAACATTATTCCTAATAGCCAAAATGAAGAAAGCAAGCAGATGTTTATCAACTGAGGTATAGGTCAACAAAAAGTGATGTATCTGTATAAAACAATAGTGTAGCACATGAAGTATAGGATACAACGTGGATGAGCCTTGAAAACAGTATGCGAGGTGAAAGAAGTTTGTCACAAAAGACATCACAATGTAGAGTTCCATTTATATTAACTGTTCAGAGCTGGCAAATTTTGCGGAGAAAGAAAATAAATCAATTGGTATCTGGGACTGTGATGGGAGTAGGGAAAAGGGAAAAGGAAGGGCATGGGGAATGTCTGCTAATGGATGAGAGCAGTTTGTTTTTGGGCTGTAAAATTAGATCACAGTGATGTTGCACAGCTCTATAAATATATCCTAAACCGTGGACTTGTGTACTTTAAAATTGCTGTGTTTTATAATATCTAAATTATTTCAACAGGACAATTTCTTAAGAGAAAATAACAAGTTCATGCTTGCCTTAGCCCTTCTGGTTCTTATGAAATATATTGTGTTACCCTGTAGATTTATACTTTGCATTAAACTCCTTCTTCCTTGACTGTCATGTTTCTGTGTTCTCTCTCTCTCTCTCTCTCTCTCTCTCTCTCTCTCTCTCTCTCTCTCCCTCTCTGTCTCCTTAGTCTTATTTTCTTTTGTATTGTTCCTAAGTCAAAAGAACATGACCAATAAATTCCCAACAAAATAAAGAAAGTGTTTTAGTTAAGCAAATATTTCCTACACATAATAGAGGGCAATAATTGTTGCTACTGCTAAGGCTCTTGGAAGGTTATGAAAATACCTGGCAATGATTCATAGCTAGCCTCCTTTGTGCACATACTACCACTGCACTTGTCAATGCTCTGAATGATGGAGTAGATTGAAATGAGACCAGTCAGAAAAACTGCAGTTAAGTAATCCAGCTCCTTGCCAAGATCACAGATTTACAAGCTTATTACCTTCATAACTACCTATTATTGAACTAAAAAGGTACAAGTTAGTAGGAAATAGTTCTGCAATATAAACTCTTGGATAACATCTGAGGTATCTTTTACCGCTAAGGCTATTACATTTACAAAATATTATTGAAAGGAGGTAGTGATATCCAAAATTAGGAATAATAGTGCTTTTATTTAATGGTTAAATTATTGAGATATTAAATACCCCTTTTAGTGGTGTATGTGTATATAACCATGCACATGAGAAAAAATATTCTGATAAAGTTGCTTTATATGAACAATATAAATAATGGTTAGTCCTGACAATAATGGTTAGTCATGGCAGAAATATTCTGCTGCAATTCACATAATATGCTTTGAACTACCTTCCATCTACCATACCAGTTCTTCTTGAAGGGGAAATCAGTGCAGAAGGATAGAAGAAAAATAAGGCTGAGATTAGAGGGGACTTGCCTCATAAATTGAACAGAATGAAATGATATTACTTCATAGTTGACAGGTGAATGCAGAATTCTGAGATGCTGGAGTTGTTACGTTGCTATGTTATTTCACAGTGGATGGTTGTAAAGAGATAAATGATATAAAAACTCTCTAATTAAACAAAATGGGGAATGCATAATCAATATTGACGGTGAAAGCCAGAAGATCGCTGAAACATTTTGATTTATCATAAAGCTTGTGGATATTATAAAAGGAGTTCTATTTTATTGCTTTTCTAAAGAAATATCTTAAGTCTCTATAGACTGTTGAAGATACTTCAGAAGCATTTATAGTCACAAAGAGGTAGGAGACATACCAGTTAAACTGGGATACTTACTGTGACTCATAAGGGGAGAAAGGTGGAGTACACCAAATACATCAATAGCTATTTCAGCCAATCAATATTTTCTCATTAACAGCCAAGATTGTAGCAGAAAAGACCTGTCTCAATGAAATTCACTTATCTTTCCATTCGAAGTTGCAAATACCTTCCTATTTCTGCATTTTATTTCTTAATTATATCCTTCACTCAATGAAAGAAAGGAAATTTTATATAGCTATTGTAAATATGAAATGAGACATACGGACACTGAAGTGTTCACATCCAGTCAACTTATCAATAGCTCTGTAAGCTTCCTCTGTCTTCAGCATTTCTTGTTGCCTTCTTTTACTTTGTGGATCATTATTCAAAATCTTGTTCCTCAGCCAAGTCAAATGATACACCCGAAGTCTGTTCTTATGACCTGATAGATAAGAAAAGATACAACATTTCAATTCTAGCTCTTGTCTTCATATTTTAAAACAAAAAGTAAAGATATTTTGCCTTTTCAACCAAATGTTTTCATTAATATAAGAAGCATATTTTTAAAAAGTATGTTGCATCAGAATCTCCCCTTCAGAATTTGGAAATATAATAGCAAAATATATCTTAGTCTCACAGTTCTAAGTGATAGATAAAGGGCTATGTGCTTTTCTGTGGTGGGATCTAAAATGCTTCTTTGACACGAGTTATGATTGCCACTGAGCAGGCAACAGAATTACCATCCACTCATTCGTACCTTGGCTTTTTACTAAGTCACAACTCTTTTGTGGCTCAGAGAACTAGGAGCTATCCCTGATAATGTGTGTGTATTCAAGGAATGTCTGAATATTGACTGGCTAAGTATTTAAGGCCATGAAGATGGATCTCTTTGTTTTCTACCTTTCTAGAATGCTTATAAAATAGTTGAAGGTTTATTATTTCTTCTTCAAACCAATTAATTTTTTATTGTAAATTATTTGAATGGTTTTAAACTTTTGTTGCTACATGATATAATACATATTTTGCGGTACATAATAGGATAATTTAACTCATGTATACATTGTGCAGAGATCAACTCAGGATAACTAGCTTAAACTTAACTTTTAAAGCTTAACCTTAATATGCATCCATTTTCCTATGAATGACTTTGGTTTCTCGTTCATTATGGCTGAGTAGTACTACATTTTACAGAAAAACCACATCTTCTTTATCCAGTCTCCAACTGATGGGCAATTGGGCTCTTTCCAAGTTTTAGCTATTATAAATTGTGCTGCTATAATAAACATGGGTGTGCATATATCACTGTGGTATTATTCTTTTAATTCTTTTGGAAGGATAACAGCAGAGGGATAGCTGGATCAAATGGAACCTCTAGTCCTAGTTCTGTGAGGCCATACTTTTAAGTGAAACAAATAAGACACACATATATAAATACTGAATAGTTTCTATGGTGTGAAAAACTAAAAGTGTAAATAACATCCGAATTGTATAACTGACAATGTGAAATAGGAAGAAATGGGCTAAAGGTGTAGGGGAAGTGGGAAGGGTAGGGGAAAGGAAATAAAGGAAAAGAAAAAATATGAGAAAAGGAAAAAAATGGAAACAAAGTCTTTGTAAATAGGGGAGGGTGGAGGATGTGAAGGGAGGGCAGGGGTTAGGGTAAAAAAATGAGAAGCAAGATCTGTCATGTACAGGTACAAGATCCCAATGATAAATGCAACTGTACTGTATACTTAGAAAGTATCCATAAACTCAATGGAAAAAAAAATTAACCTTAAACTGTTAACATTTCCATATAGTGAGTATACTTTCTTCTAACTATTTAGAAGTCAATGATGTGTTGTTGTGAATTATATGTACCCTACTTTCCCACAGTAAACCAAAACTAATTTCTTCTGTATTCCTATATTGTTGTACCCATTCTCTACCTCTTCTCCTTTTCTCCTACCCTCTATTTAATCCAGTGTCTAGTGAGCATTATTCTATTTTCAAGGTTTATGAGATCAACTCTTCAGATATGACTTGGGATGAGATCACATCTTTCATATAAATTTGTCAATTACAATTTCTTAAATCACATCAAATTAGTAAAATTTATTCAAAAAGCAAAGGCCATTAAAATCACATATTTCTGTTGCTACACAATGATTTATATTCATTTTTATTATTTATTTCTAAAGTTTATTATAAAATATCTAATCACAGCAGTAGGATTCTCATGTGTTTAATCTTTGATATGTTTTGCATAAAATATCTGAAACAATGTCTATGAACATTCTGTTCTTAAATGATAAAATAAACTATTGAGTATCTTCCTATACCGATATTCTCAGTACTACCTGACAATAAAATAATTTGTATTTGAGAGAAGCTCAAATATTAAGGAAGGCCACATCTGGGTTAGAAAAAAATGCAAAGAAAATCTGTGTTGTAAAGAAATCTGTCATTCAGATGAGTAATCTCTAAACTACCTGGATGCTTTCAAAAACTAAATATTGATACATATTGCTATATATCTATGTACTTCAGATAATTATAAATGAATGGTCATGAAACATAATTTAAAACATCATGATGCCTTAACATATTCCTAAGGGATTTCTCCTTTAATCAAAATATAAAGCAATCTTAATCATATTTCAGAACATATATAATCTGTGTAACACGGCAATTTTCACACTAGTATATATTCTACATACCTATTATGTATTGCAGAAATATACAAATTAATATAAATAATTGTGCTTAGCATGATTTTACTGTGTAACTAAATTATTTTTAAAATTTACGTCTCTTTTTTCTGTCATCTTTTGTCTATATGCAGATTTAATGCGACTCCTTTCTGATAACAAGTTCTGGTTTGTAATAACAATCACTCTAACATTCATTTATTTGCTTTTTCAAAGTGAATGGTTTAGGCTCTGATTACTCTAAAACAAGAAATGCAACTACTTGGGCTGGGGAGGTAGCTCAGCGGCACAGCTCCTGCCTAGCAAATGCAAGTTTGATCCCCGGTACCAAAAAAAGGGGAAAAAATGTGCAGAGGTCTTACATGTTTGTGATACATAAAGAATACATTCATGGTGGCAAGTTGGTACACGTACATGGAATACCTTAACTTTTTTATGTCCCTTTCCCAAATTCCCCATTTCCCCCTCCATCTGTAGGTCTCCTTCCCATTTGCAAAAGGTCTATCTTGCTGTTTATAATGATCTATGTTTTACTTTGATTTTTAATTTATTTATACTTTAGATTTCTTGTATAAAAGAAACCATAAATATATGAGCTTGTGTGTTTAGTATATTTCACTTAATATTATGGATTCAAGGTTAATCCAGGAAACCCATTCGTTTTCTTTCATTAAGTTTCATGGTACTTTTTAGTTATACAGTACAGTTACACTCATAATTAGAATCTTGTACCTTTACAAGATGTATCTTGGTTCTTATTTTTCCCCATTCCTTGCCCTCTCTTCACCCCCTCCACCCTTCCCTATTTATAAAGACTTTGTTTCCATTTTTTTCATGTTCTCATATTTTTTTCTTTTCCCTTATTTCCTTTCCCGTACCCGCCACACTTCCCCTACTCATTTAGCTCTTTTCTTCCTATTTCACATTATCATTTATACAATTTGAACCTTACTTACACTTAGTTTCTCACATCAGAGAAACTATTCAGTATTTACACATGTGTCCTACCTATTTCACTTAAAGGTATGGCCTCAATATGCATCCATTTAGCTATAAATGTCTCTAGTTTCTCATTCGTTATGGCTGACTAGTACCCCACTTTTTGGAAAAACCACATCTTTTTTTATGCAGTCACAAGTTGATGGGCAAATGGTCTCTTTCCAAGTTTTAGCTATTACAAACTGTGCCACTATAAACATGGATGTACATATATCTCTGTGGTACGATTCTTTTAATTATTTTGGAAATACACCCAGCAGAGTCAAATGATACCCTAGCTAGATATCGTAGCTGGGTCAAATAGGACCTCTAATCCTACTTTTTTGAGGTATCTCCATATCGATTTCCACAGTGTTTGTACCCAGTCTGCACTCCCACCAACAATGGAAAAGGGTTCAGGGAACTCATTCTTATAACAAACTTTAAATATAGGCCCTAGTGATAAGACTGTGGACCAAGTCTCTTTTTCACCCAAATGTGTCTTCACTTTGGTTCATATTTGCAGCTGTTGCTGTTTTGCTTCTAATATGTCACAAGAATGGTGTGTGATGGATATTGCTGTGATCTGTGTGTACAAGTGTATGAAAATTAGAGGTGTAAAATTTTAGGGGGTTATTCAGAAAAATGCCTGTAAGGATGCAAATGATGTGGCTTTTCTTATCAGTAGCCTGGGTCAAGTGTATTACAATGAAAGGAAGTTAGCTTAAATTATAAATAGGTTTAAAAAGTACAAGTAGGAGAGCCTAGTGTCCCAATTAAATGTTACATTTAAAGTGTTCACCTATGAACACATTTATCTGAGCAATTCTTTAACCCAGTTTGCTACCTAATTAAAGTTACATAATTATTCAACTAATTTTAGTAATAAAACAAACCAGAGATGGTAATCAGCAAATTGAGTGTCTCTACGACTTGAATCTGGCGGAATGGTCTTCGCTTTATAAGTTTAGTAATGTTTGCCTTTCCACTTCTGTCCAATAGGCACAGATTCGATCTGGTTCCCAGCAGCAAATTGACCCCTGTTCAGATATGAAAAGTACTATATTAGTTCAGGTTATTTGCCCAATTGCACTGATATTACATTTTTTATACTTCTGTATGCTACTCTATATAAAGGTGACTTTTATAATTTTAGGCTAATATTAATTTCATACTGCAATTAAGTTTATGCTATATACTTTAATAATTCAAATTTCACTGAAATATATAAAAAGATAGAAGATACTACTGTGAAGCAATAGTGTACAGTTTGTTGTCTACTGTGCCATCTCACAAATAGAATTTTATGTATATTTGAGCACCCATTGGTAGTATGCCAAAGTTTATCAAAGTCAATTCTTTTACAAATTATTATTCAACATTTTTAGTCTAGCACAGGCAAAGAATTCAAGTTAGCTCATTTCTAATTCATTGCTATAACAAAATATTTTAATGCTTTAAAAATCATTATATGTATTTTTTTAACTTAAGCACTTCTATGCTCATGCAGATATCACAAAATTTTACTTTGCTAAATGCTTGTGCAATTGTGCCTATCTTCATGTATCTAGGTGCCTATGTTATCTTTTATTTGTTGTCTGGCTCTAATAGGTCAAATATACGTATTCTTTAGAGGCCAAATGCGAAGATTGAAATAGAAGATATAACTAAATTTAAAACACATTTCAAACTATTGTGGCAGTCTCTCTATCAAATGAGACACAGGAGACAATTAGCCAAGTGACAGAGGAGAAAATTTCAGTATCTGCCACCCCTTGCAGAATATTTGTGCTCTGAGGGTACAAGGAGAAAAGACTAGTGTTTCTGCCTTCAATTTTCTACTCTGCTGCCCCTTTTCAGTTCTCACAGCCAGTGGCAAGTTTAGAAACCGTATCTTCCCTAAAGGGAGTCAAAGAATGAGGGGGAAGCTTTTTACTATGATCGCTTATTTTTCAAGGTAAATAATCACTAGTTATAAGTATGAGTTACTTGACACTATATTTCTGGGTAATTGCTAGACTGAAAAGCTAGTGCTTTTTATTGTCTGATACAATCAGTAAGCAAAGTTTTGAGGATGCCATTTCTCTAAATTGCTCTATCCATATAATTATGTTTGCTACTTAATTAAAAGCACTGCCTCTGCTCAATTGTATATCAAATAAAATCTATCAAATTTCAAGTTGGAAGTTACTTTGGAGTCTTCCTTTCCTTGCATTCATTTATTCTGTTTGTTTTATGATGCTGACTGTCTTGAGGTAAGATATTGTCTCAGCATTACTGGCATCGCTAGTTTTTAAACAAAGAATTGGAGAAGCCTGTCAAAATTAAGACTTTACAGAAGAATTTTCTATTCAAATCCCCATGACTTTAAAAACAAGACTCTGGGCCGGGGATTTAGCTCAGCGGTTCAGTGGCCTGCCTTGCAAGCCCAAGGACCAGAGTTCAATCCCCAGTACCCTCCCCAAAAAATATATATATATATAAATAAAAACAAGATTCTATAGAAATGTTTCTTATAATACTTTACTGGGTATAATATGCTTCACTGAACCCTAAATGAAGAATACTAAGCTCAATCATAAGGTAAGGCATCCATCAGCAAAATCACTTCTGAGTAAAATATTAATAAATTTTCATTTGATTTGGTAAGAGTTAACAAATGTTTTACATATATGATTTTCACATGTTTTCTATCCAGGTTAAAAATAGTTTTTTAAAGAGTAAAAAGGGAAAAGAAAAAAATGTGAGAGAATGAAAAGATGAAAATAAAGTGTTTGTAGATGGGAAGGGGAGGAGGTGGTGAAGGGAGGGCAGAGGTAAGGGGAAAAAATGAGAATCAAGACTTGCCATGTAGAGGTACAAGATCCCAACAATGAAAGTAACTGTACTGTATCCCTAAAATGTACCAATAAACTCAATTAAAGCTGAAAAAAATAGTTTTTTAGCATCTACCTCACAAGCATAAGGTCCTGAGTTCAATCCCTGTACAAAAAATAGTCTTTTATAACAACTCGGTTTCAAAAAATCAAACTCACCCCACAAAGAACCACAATAGATCTCAGAAGTGAATTCTTTTTCATACATGTGGATTAGTGGTTTTTTACATGCAGAAGAGACACAGGGTGGATTAACATTGACTTCAAAACTTCTCTCAGTTGATTTTTCAGGGACTTCCATGAATCCAGCATAAACTACGGATAAATAAGAGGAAGATATTAAGAGATACTGCTAGTTTATACACCATGTGTGCTTGAGTGCTTCCACAAAAAAGATGCAGCCTAGAAAAGTTCCGTTTCCTGTACTGTATTTTATTTTTACTTCAGGTATCATTTTGACAATTCTCAAGCCATCAGACCACACAAATCACGATGGTTAAAATACATTGCGCAATAGAAAAATATTTTAAGAGGCTGTTATTAGAATAGAAAGAAAATCTAATATGGGACTCAATTTCTAAACTTTAGCTCAGTTATGTACCATAAAGATTCAGTGAAGATTAGATTTATTAAAAGCATACATCCTCCTGAAATTATGTCAACTGAATATCAGAATGATTTGATTCCTTGAAGATCATTAATAAATGGTTAAAAAGCATTGAATATGAGAACATATACAAGCATTGAGAGATCATACTAGACACTCACAGATGGCACAGGCAAAGTCAGCATTAGCAGCTACCCCAGAACCTTTGGAAGGAGATGAATTACTGGCAAAAAAATCTGACTGTGTTGATGATTGTGATGTGTCTATATCACCATCCCCATCATCCATTTCAGGGAGTGTAGCATCTGAGACAATAGAGTTTGAGACTTCACTCTCACTATTTAGCTCCTGAAAGGACAAAATCGATTTGTATTTTGTCAGAAAGTTTAAGTAGAACAAACGTGCATATGAGTCACTTAAAAACATAAATGCAAAATTTGTAATATCTACATCATTACAAAATCCACATTTACTTACAAAACAACTACGTCATTATTGAGATTATTATTAGAGATGAAATATGGTTGCTGACATTTGTGTTACTGTGCTAGGAATCTTATTTACATATCACCTTCTGCACTTACCATAAACAAACAATTAAATTTAATCATCTCCTATTTACTTAAAATAAAACCAATTTTTCCTTAGAACTGCTAAATACTGTTTTCTAGGTCATAGTGCTAGTAAGACATGAAACTAGAACTTGAAGCCAGTCTACTTGGTTACAAAGTATATATTCAACTATGTGGTTCCAAATAGCCACTTGAAAAAATAAAAGACACAATATGGGTGTATCCGTTCTGTTGCTTTACATACCTTCTGAGAACTTATAGCATGAAGCTCCTAGAGGTAAAAGTTTTAAGTGACAAATCAAAAGATGAAAAACCAGTTTACACAATTGTAGCCCAGAGTGTAAATATATTTAACTGAAATTCCAGCCTGCTACCCATAGCTAATAAAGGTAGTCAAGGATAAAAACCAAAACAATGTGACATTCCTCATCCTGTAGGAAAACACAATAACTGCTTTTGACAAATTTTTCTATTGACAAGCTCTTCTTTGTATATAAAGAGTGATTTCTGGTACTGGGATAATTGTTCCACTCTGTCAGGGAATGCTTTTCACGACTTAATAAACCAATAAACAAACTATAGTATATAGTAGGGCATCATTATAAAATTAAAATGAAATGAAGATTCATTCACTCTGTAAAGAACCCAAACTTTCTTTAAAATAATGAGAAAACTCAGGGTTCCATGAAACTAATGTTTGGAAATCCATTTTAATATGTTTAGTTAAGATGAATGATGGATACATAAATAAGATGTAAATATAGATACTTTCACAGTGATACTGTTTTTCTGTTGTAAATCATTTAGGAAGTTTTCTTCCTCCCTATTTTCTTTGTTCCATTGATTGATGTCTTCAATAACTTTTATAAACCACGCTTTAGGATGGACTCTGAGGTTAAACTGGTAGAAAAGCAATCAAGAATGGATTAGACATGATTACTTCAAGAGTTCATAATCTCATGTGACAGAATAGAAAATACCAGACAAATAACTACAGTGTCATAGGTATTAAAATGGATCTATGTGAAAAAATGCTTGAAAAAAAAAGATGGAGGGGTACATGATTTTGCCTTGGGAACTAAAAAATTATATTTGAATCAGATCATAATTGATGAGGAAATCAGCAAGCAGAGATCAGGTAAAGGACAGCTCTCCCGAAAGAAACACTTTCTATGGGAGCATTAATTCATGGAAAAGAATCTGGAATCTTCAAAGCCAATTGATGTGATAGGCAAATGGCTAGAAAAGTAGATTGGTATAATCTTCTATTTCTGAAACCCCACCTTTATCTTCAGATTGGTAGACAATCTCTATTTGTCACAAATCAGTTCAACTCCCACTACTCCAAAAACATTCTCTAAGATAATTCCCACTGATTTAGCATCTGTGAAACAACTTGAGTATTTTAAACCATTTATAAAATCAATAAATGTTCTGTGAATAACAAGATCATCATCTAAACACAATATATTACTTCAATTAGAAGTGTATTGTTATCTCCTGGCATGGTGGTGCATGCCTATAATCCCAGCACTCAGGAGGTTGGGGCAAAAAAATTGCCACCAGTTTGAGGCCAGCCTGGGACACATAGTGAGTTGAAAGCCAGCATGAACTATATAACAAGACCTTGTCTCAAACAAACAAACAAACAAACAAACCAGTATATGTTAACAATTCCTAAAAAAGTTAAACATAGATGGCATGTGATGCAGCAATTTCACTCCTAGATAGAGTCCTAAAGGGAACTGTAAATGGAATCAGTTGCCTTACATCAAGATACACAGAAGCTTATTCATGATAGGCCAAATGTGGAAACAACCAAAAGAAACAGTATCAGAATATTATTCAGCCTTAAAAAAGGAGCAAATTCCAAATACATGGTACAATATGATGAACCTGAAAATTGTATGCTAAATGGAATAATCCATACATGACAGGACAAATACTGTCTGATTAAAAATATTTTACCTAGAAATAAAATAAAATACAAGTTACTAGGGAGTGGGGAAGAAACTGACACGTGATTGTTTGGGATGATAAAAAATTGACAGAAATGGAGAAAAATGAGGGTTGTACGCCACTGAGTATACTAAATGCCATTGATTTGTAGTCTTGAAATGATTAAAAATAGCCAGGTGTGATGCCACGTGCCTGTAATTCTAGAAGTCTGAGAGGCTGAGGTAGAAGGATTGCAAATTTGAATCCAGCCGGGGCAATTTAATGACTTGGTCACACCCTGTCTCAAAACAAAACAAAACAAAAAAAGTGCTGGATATGCAGCTCAGGGCAAAAAGCCCTGGGTTTAATTCACAGTACTGAAAGAAAAAAATTAAATGGTATGTCATGTATATTTTAAAGTAGAAACAATCTTCCCAGGAAAATTATGTATTAAGATATACCACCCACACGTGCGATATGAGTGAAGAATGGCAAACAAGACACTTTTGTCCCTGGAAGTAAAAAAGAATCAGCCAAACTGGAAGCAGTAAAGACCTCCATACACAGCAATAATTAAAATGTTTAATGTTTCGGCGCCGAGAGTTAAAATCTTGGCATAATTGTAAATGCTAAATATCATGTGGGAAACAGATTCCCAATGACAGTAGTATATTATTCTTTACAAATGGTACATTACCTCTGCTTGATGTTCAAACTCATGGATTATGGGTCTCTTCAGTTCTGGCCCATCTGTGTCTGACTGCTTTTCTCCATAGAATCCAAACACTCTATTCTCTTCATCGTTGCCACTGGCTTCCTTATTTCTATTACTCCTGTTACCTTTTCCACTGTCTATATCACCTCCATGTCTTTCCTGACAGCCAATGGCTCCACTGCCTCCACTGGCTGTCATTCTTCCCTGGCTTCCACTGCTACAGCCTCTGCTAGTGTCTTCTTTTTCGTCACTGCCATCTTGCTTGCAGTTTCCATCTTTATCACAGCTTGCCCTGATAACAAGGACAAGTTAATGAAAGAAAGCCACCCAATAAAGACACAGTGGAAAGACAGTAAATGAAACACAATAAGGATATTTCTCTTTTTTCTTTTTCTTTTGGTACCAGGGATCAAACTCTGGATTTTGCGCTTGTGAGGCAGGCAGTGGAACCACCGAGCTAAATCCCTAGCTCAGGATGTTTCTTATACATATCTACCATATCTAGGTGTGTTTTTGCTCTGTGTGAACACTATTAGTATTTAGACAAAAAAAAGGTCACAGTGTTAGCCAGTCTTAAATACTGATTAGCACCATATCACTGTCAATTCTTCAGCTGTATTTGGGTGACAGAGGAAAGAGAAATTGCATTCCTTGTTAGGTATATGCATGTTAGTAGCACAATGTATACTTTTTTCTTTCATAATAGACTACTTAATGCATTAGAAACTTCACAACCACATGAACATTAAGCCCATATCTTTGGCTCATCCACAACATATTTGAATAATTCCTCTTGCAACTTATCTAGTTTTTGTGAAATTTAATACCTAACTTCTTTGCTACAGAATACCAGTGATCAACTTATCTTCCCAATAAGTTAAAATAAAATTAACCTAATGTCTTATAGAACTATATGGGAGTCATTCAATCAGTTTTTAAAAACACCAAACTTGCCAAAATGTCTCAGTATTCTCTTTTTGCATATGAGACATTAAACATAAGTCCCTGTAGGGATTCTAAAAACAAATCTATGTGAATTAAATTATTTTTATTCTTATGTGTGCTACTGGGGATCGAACCCAGGGGTTAGTAGATGCAATCTATCACTGAATTACATTCTGAATCCTTTCCTTTTACTTTTTATTTTGAGACAGGGTTTCATTAGGTTGCCTAGACTGATCTCAAATTTGCCATCCACCTGCCTCAGCCTCTCAAAAATGAAAATCTTGATAGACATTTACTAATTAACCAGGTAAATATCATGCTAAATTTGTCACATGTACATGTTTCAGAAATGCACAGCTATGTTTACAAATACTAGTCGCTTCACTTTTGTTCATTTATTATGCTTGTTGTTTTACATAGTATTAAGATAAAGTGGGCTGGGGATTTATCTCAGTGGTTCTGCCACCTGCCTCGCAAGCACAAGGACCCAACTTCCATCCCTGGTACTAAAAAAAAAAATTAAAAAAAAAAAAAAGATTTAGTCACAATAATTTTAACAAAAACACTCAGACCACTCCAGTTATAAAGCAATTAATAAATAATTGAATATTAATAAAATAACACAGTTAATGTGAACTTAAGCATTCTACATTAGAACAATTTAGATGATATTAGTGAAGATCGATTATTTGCCAATATACAGGGAGAATTCATTTTCCCTCAAGACAAAACATTTTGAAAATAAAGCTAAGATGAAAATAATTCTAAAGTTATAAAATACAGATAATGTGAGTCACTGAGAAAACCAACCTTGAACAACTAGGAGCATAAACACAATTAGTATCGTTGCCATCAACAGAATTGTCAATGTTGTCAATAACATCTTGGTCTTCACAGACATAATTTTCCTGAGCAACCTGGTAATCCAAGTCGTCATTGCCATTTGAATGGTCATAGGTATCTTCATAAGCACCATTAGAAACACCATCGTTACCAGCAGCAGCAGCACCAGCATCATAGAGTTCAACATAATCACCATCCTCCTTAGGTGGCTGAATGACAGGTGTAGGAGTTAGCCATTCATTCCAGAAGACTTCAGAACCTGAGTTACAGCCTGGCCATTCATTTGTCAAGTATACAGGAGGTGATATTTTTCCTACTTTAAATCCATCTGGAACCTGTGTGCACAAGAAAAGTTAATGTAGTCTCTAGTACCCTTTCATTTTCTTCTAGATTGTAAAGTTTTCAAGCTGAAAACATTTAAAAACATATTTGCAACTGAAATAAAGATGTCCATTTACTATCAAAAGTCAAAATTTTAGTGAGGATAAGGTGTCAAAAACCAAACATCCAACTATGATTATTAGTGGACTTTTTAGAGCACATAGGGCAAAATACACTCACTTTGTTTTTATTAGCCCTACTTGTCTACTGAGGAATTGACATTTGCTTTTGAGGTTGGAAGGAAAAAGCCATGTGATTCTCTATAGATACAGTTATTTTCCTTTTGTTTTTCTCCTGACTTTAGATCAATGTGTAGCTTCTGAAATTAATAAATTAATTTCCCAGCTTTGTCTTTAAATGCCATAAGTTATCTTAAAGAATGTCAAACCATTCAAAATAAGCAAACTAATTTAAACCACCTCTGAAGTATGGGATATAATCACACAGCAACTTCTGGGAATGGGTGTGTATATAGTAGGGTGAAGGTAACTACAAAATTAAAATTACCTTAAAGCACCCTTCAAAATGAGCTGGAAGACATTTTTATTTATGTATCAGAGCACAGTTTGTTTTTCACTAAGTGTTTTATTTTTCTACATTGTCTCATCAACCAAGGAATTCTATTAGAATCAAATTGAACACATTAATTTTACCCCCTTAATTGGACATCAGCTTCGACAAGTACCTCTGCATAACTCCTCTCTTTAATAAAGTTCACACTGATATAAAAATGGGAAAATAAAATGTTATTTGATGAATCAACATTTTTCTCATTTCAATTTTAACTTCTAAATTTTGTATTCTTGATGTTTGTACAGTGGGAGTCTGTCTTGAAAAGATTAACAAAAAATTAAGCTGTTTAAGCTTTCTCTCCCTAAGTGAAGAGGAGAAAACTTAGATCAAAACAAATTGAGATTAAAAAGGACAGATACAAATGTGTTAAGAATGAAACCTACATGGATATCAACCAGCAACTTCTGATCAATAGTAGAATAAGGTGGTGATGACTGGGATCTCCTCCCAGTCACAGGTCTCTCCTCTTCAGAAGATTCTATGGAATGTCAAAAATATATTAGTAATGCTGGTGGTTACAGAGATTGCTTGTATTTATATAGTCTCCAGTTCAATCTCTTGTGTTTCTCATAACCTCTGTAATCCCATTTAGGAAATATTATATGATAAATATTCATAGGGCCAAGATCTTCAGTTCTGTCTGCAGGCTCGAGATTTTGTTCCATCTAAAGATCTATGTGACTGTGTTTGTTTTCAATATTCAATGCATATTTGCTAAATATTTCTATCTGTGTAAAAAGGTATACAATATGACTAGTAGCCAGGTAGATCTATATGAAGAAGTTATATCAAGAATATGAAGGACTGGGAGTACCACTGGCCTTACAGGCCAACCAGTAGAAAGAGGCCAATTATGTTAATTACAAAATGATAGATCAATCCAAACTCATGTGATTTGATACTTCAATCTTAACTCCCCTTCTTCAGTTTTCACCCAGTGATATATCCTTCAATATTTAAATGAACTTAAGTAGTGAACTACTGAAAAGATGCACACTTTAACCTGTTTTGTAAAGCTACAACTTTCTATAGCAGAACTATGCAACTGAACTTTGCACATTGGTGGGAATGTTTTGTGCTTGTACTGTACAAAAATAGTAGCCACTAGTCACAAATGATTACTGAGCACTTGAAATGTGACCAATGCACCAGAAAAATAAACTTTTAAAGTTTATTTAATTGTGCTTGGTTTTAATTTTTAAACCACATGTTACTAGGCGCGATCACATAGCACAGCTCAATTCCATAGTGCAGATATTTTCATTTAAAATACAAATTTATTTAGTACAGAAGTATAGCTTCTGATATTAAGCTTCCTGGTAAATAGTACTTTTAGTTAAAATTCAGTGAAAATATATAATAGGCTCAAAAGTCAGTAGATCTGGGTGAGTATACCTAGAATATTCAGGTCACTGCTTATGGTTTTTATGCACTGAGATTTTAAAGATAAATAGTACTGCTCCACTTTTATTTGAAGTCTTGATATATATAACCAAATTACAGACAGTCGCAACTCCAAAAAGCATGGATTTGAAAACACTGTTGCATCTTGTGAACATTACATATAATCTCTACATTGTATTTCTTCATCTTCTGACACTTGTGCTTTAGCTATTTATTATTTTTTGTAGGAAAGCATTTAATCAAGTCTTTTGCTTATGATAGTAGACCAAATAAGATGTTTGACTGAGTGCCTTGTGATCTTGAGAAAAATCTGCAGTAAAGTGATTTCTTCAAGAGGGGGACTGAAATCTCCTAAGATCTATGTAATACTCATAATATACAACAGAAGTTCAGACCTAGAAGGAAATTTGAGTATTGCTGTTCCCTTCTTCCTTGCACCATCGCTACTTAGCAGCTTTGGTGCCTAATCTAAAATCTCTTCATTTCTTTTCTTTTTTTTCTTTCTTTCTTTTTTTTTTCTTTTTTTTTTTGGTACCAGGGATTGAACTTGTGTCCTTGTGCTTGCGAGGCAGGCAGCAGAACCACTGAGCTAAATCCCCTGCTAAAATCTCTTCATTTCAAAAAGGAAATATGAATAGATTAAAAATTTAAATTTTTTCCCAGTATACAACAATTACCACTACTTGAACCGAGAAGAAAAGACTCTGGCTAAAAAATACTGAAATTACTCTTCCCTCAGGCTCATCTTACTTCTCAGGAGACCGTGTTTTTGTACAAGAAGACACCACCACTTAAATGAATTCTATCATTACTTGATTCTTTTACACGGAAGAATAGGATTTTTAAGTTCATAGTTTTGAATGCTAGTTTTCTGTATTTTACTAATATGTAATACAATCATGTGCTACACTTCTAGAGATAACAGGCATTTGCCTTTTGCTTATTTAAATGGAATGCTTGAAACTAGGTAATACCATATTTTATTATCTCAGGCACAATTTTGAATTTGTCATCACCTATCCCAAATTTTTAATTCATTTAAACTCTCTCAAAAGCACATCTGGAAAAATGACAATTGTTTGAAATTCATATCACAATTTATGAAGTTATTTTATATGATTTAATTAACTATTTATGCAAAATAAGTGAGGCCATCAGTTCACACCATTTAGAAATACTTAAAATAAGCTGTTATATTGTATTTTGAAGAGGTTAAATAACAAAAAAAGAAAACACACTCTCTCTCATTAAGTATTATATCCAATATTCCAAAGATTAATTATAAATGTTTTTCCTATTGGAGAAGCCCTTCTCAAGTTCTTTTTCTTATTTGTCTCACCTCATATAGAAACTAAAGCCGACTTCTGTAATTTCCTAGACACATTACTAACTATTCAACTGCAATAGAAAACTTAAGAAAAGTCATTTTCTATTTCACAAAGGTCACCATTGACCACCCAGTTGCTCCACCCAGTGGCCTAATCCTATATGAAATCCCTGACATGCTTAATTCCCTCTTGAAATTCTTGTTTTTCTAACTTCTGAAATATAAACTAGTGTTGCTATTTAACTGCTAAAACTCTGTCCTTTGAATCACCTGATGATGCTTGAAAGTTCTGAGGATTTTGCAAGCTCCTTTGTCTGATGTCAATGGGCTTCTGAGCTTGTTCCACAGGAGACTGCTGAGGAACACTAATGAAAAGACAGAAAAGCATGTGCCACATTCTAATATTCATAAAGGGGGAACATACAACTCCACATAATGACCAACAAAAAGGTTTTCATAAATGTATGGGAATATACATAACACCGACAAGAAGTAGAGTTTAAGTAAGATTTTCCAATTCTCATTTTCCCCCTGAATCTATTTTATCTAGAACTGAGAAATAATTTCCAAAATAAAGAAATAAAAAACATGTTTCCACACAGCATGATTTTCTTCTCACATCATATTTACTTCTAAAATTTTCTATAAACTCTCTTTAAGGTAATATTCATACAATATTACCAGGTTAATACAGCAAAAGACATAGCCTTATAACGTTTGTGAGTCTTTTAGCATGGGAAATATAATTATTTTGTCAAATATCCTATCATCTTGACTTTTACATGCTTAGATTTCATCTTTTTAAATGTAGTTCATGATTTAGATGGGTGGACAGAAAGGGCAGTTTAGTTCTCACAAACCAAATTCAAAGGCAAGTACTGTAAAATTTTATAATCACTTTAAAATTTCTGTATGGGAAGGATTGTGGGTATTGATTTAGACCTGGGATAGACATAGACTATTCTAGGACCCCAAATTTAAGGAAAAACTTTAGTTTTATTTTATATAATTTTATAAATGTGACTATATTTAAAGGCAATGCATTTGGCATTCATAAATTTAAAATTATTTTTAAAGTGAATAATCACTACCAGATTAACACTAAATTTAATGTTTATATACTTAAATCTATGAAAAGTTATGTTCTTTGGTAACAATCACAAATAGAAAACTAAGCTGGTTTCTTCCCTTTGAGGTCAGAAGCAGTAGGAGGACCCACACATTGAGAATGTCAATAAAAAGAAAGTTTTTGGTTTTGCACTCTAGGTTTTCAATATTTTTACTCTCCATTTCAATCTAAAGATAGTAAAATATAAGTGTTAAAATGAGGTAAGAATATTTATTACATTGTATTTCTGTGCCATTTGCCATGCTGTCCAGTATGTTGAATATAGGGAGTGATTTAATAATATTTATTAAGTGACTGAATGAGTATAGGCCAAGTTTTCTTCTTTATGATTTGGGCTTTGGGAGGGTATGATTATCATAGAAAACATATTTTAAATTTTGGCTTTCAAGTATAACCACATCTGCACATAATGTCTAAAATCAGCATCTTTGAAAATCACTGATACTGCAAAGATGGAAAATATGTATGGTGTCAATATTAGATATAACATTGAGTTAGAGCTGATTTGGATTATTGGTAAATTTCAGGCCATGTTTCCTATTCTGTGGCATTAGCATCTACATTGAGATATATTATGTGTTTGTGTGTGTGTGTGTGTGTGTGTGTGTGTGTGCATATGTGTGCTTTATCATTGTAGTACAGTCAAAAAAGTCACTTGAATGGGGCTGCGGTATATCCAGATGTTAAATATCTAGTTACTGGATCATCACAGTTCAAGTTGTAAATTTGGCATTTTATCTTGCTAGTCAGTATGTAGACTGGACTTAAAGTCTAAAGATAGATAACTATTTCACAAATCTAAATGCAATAAATTGGAGAATTCAGAAAAAATTGATAGATTCCTAGATACATATGAATTACAAAAACTGGTGTGAAAAACTATAATTGCACATAACATCGTAATGGTATAATTGACAATGTGAAATAGGAAGAAAAGGGCTAAAGGTGTAGGGGAAGTGAGAAGGGTAGGGGAAAGGGAACAAGGGAAAAGAAAAAATATGAGAAAATGGAAATAAAGTATTGGTAAATAGGGAAGGCAGGAGGGGGTAAAGGGAGAGCAGGGATAAGGGGACAAAAATGAGAACCAAGATCTGTCATGTAAAGGTACAAGATCCCAATGATGAATGTAACTGTACTGTGTACCTAAAATGTACCAATAAACTCAATGAGAAAAAAATTAAAAAAATAAAAATAATATAAAGTTGTAAATTCGGGCCAATCCTGCTAATGCTATTGGTGTTGTTAGTGATATTTCAATTTTGACTTCTCACAGAACATGGTGGCAAAGAAACAAACATTAATTTTTCATGTGATACTTACTTATTGGTAATTCAAATACTGAAATCAGAGACATATACCTTGAAAAGAACTTGACATGACGTGTACATTCCTGTTTGTGAGGCATGGAAGCAGGTCTGTCTTGAATCTTAAAGACACAATGTGATATTTTGGTAGACTTCTGAGTTATAAATTATTTTGAGTTATTTATTTACAGAAAAAATGCTTTTCTTCATAAGTTTTCTTAAAATTCAAGTTATAAAATATGATTTTATGAATAGACCATATTTTCATAATTACTAATACTACAACATTGAAGCTGCTGATAATTTGTGATAGTTTGAGTTTTAGAATAGGAACAGACTCTGTAAAGTATATAACCAGAACTATTCATATTGTTTCTGAGGAATCTGACTAAGAGAAAGAAAATGACTTTTCTAAAAATTTTACATCAAGTCAAATCAAGCCAAAGGACTATCTAAAATCAGAATGCAAAATTCTCGACCTCTGATTAAATATTCTAAATTATAACATTTATTTTTAATGTCAAGTTCACACTTCTCACTTAAAGTATTTGAGTTCAAAATTTTTACTCTTTTCAGCTAACTTTAGATTTTCCAAGGTACA